TGATATTTTAGGTTTCAAGTAGCCAAAAGATGATTTTCAAAATAAAGTGGGCACTTCTGAGAAGTCTCTGAGCACCTTTACATGTGCACGAAATATGCTCTGTCATCTCTGAGGCTGCTTATTCTGTGAAAATTGAAACGAGTACAAATGGGTACAACGCACAGCTGGTTTCTAAGTGCAGCATCAGGAAACGTCCAGGAAACATCAAAGATTACTTCAATCCCTAAGTCTAGAAGTTCATAAGAAGCTTCAATTGTCTGTCCAGATGCCTCCTTTTTTTTTTTTTAAAATCATTCATTACTTTCAACTCTTAGTGTGCGTTTAAAAGTTTACATGTGCTCTTAAAGAGTGTCCTTAATACTGAAAATTATTATTAGATGTAGCACACTAGAAGTTACAGTATTCACACTGACCAAAGGTACTTGGCCATTCTCGATAGAAATGCTATTTTGAAGAGTTGGAAAAAGCTCTTAGATATGCGACAGGAGGAAGACAGAATCCTCCCACAACTCATTTTAAAAAATAAATAACGTAGATTTAGGTTTTTTATAAAGATAAGTATCCTTCTATGTAGAGTTGAAAGACCTTGGCATTTGTTCATTGTATCTGGTATAAGAGGAGAAAATCCACAGGGCCTTGAGTGAAAAATAGAATCATTAAAATAAAACCAGATTATTATTATTATTATTATAGTCTGTCCTTGATCTCCTACCCTAAACTTGTAATTCCTTGAAAAATACACTCTATCCTGAGCTTCTGCATTTCCTAGTGGATGTTTCTAAGATATTAAATCACATTGTACTGTACCCACAGGCAGACAAGCTGTTATAACTTACAGAGGGAGATTAAAATTTCAAGGACTGTTTTTTTAACTTTTTCTTCTTCAGACTTCATATTGGTTAAAATATAATTTCCATGTCAGTTATCAGGACAAATATCCCTTGTAGTTGAAAAGTAGAATACATAAATACTTTCCAGTTCTTTTCCTTTAAATGCATTTGTGACACTGGTAGCACTGCATGGATAGCCCTTCACCCCAGGACAGTTTGGTATACTCTGTGGCATCCTAAGGTGGGTAGGAATCTCAGTTTCAGTTTCTGCATTTCTCTTTTTATTGCAGTTTCTCAGAAACTTCTTTAATCCTTGGCAACTCTGAAAAGGAGGAGGCCAAGTGTGCAGGGTTGGTTATCGATGGCCGCAGGATAGGATGCAGAGAGCTGGAGCTGCTGGGCCCATTTCAGCCTGGAGATATGACTGCTCAGGCCTTCAAGCTGTATTTGTATTTCTAGATGCTGTATCTCCAAGAGAAAAACACTGACATTACCAGCCAGTAGCCTGCATTACATACCTTACAAAATAAAGAATAGCCTTGAAAGAGTAAACGTGTTGTTAGGAATTATAATCTTTAAGATTGATTGTAGTAGATAAGCAGTTCAGTGTTAAAAAATAAAATAAAAGGGTAAAACTCCTATGCTTCTCTTTAGAGACATACCTGAGCAGTGCTGCTGCCACCCACTGAAAGGTAAGCCACTTGCAAAGCTGCAGCAGGAGGTTGTCAACTCTTTACACTAAGTACAAATGCTTATGTAGAATTCAATACTGGTCTCCAGGCACAAATGAAATGTCAGAGCATTTCTCTCCTGCTTTTGTTGGGAGCTGATGAATCCAGCAGCTTGACAGAGTTGAGGCTGCTGCAGCTCCACGGCCCTGGGTCCAACCAGCGCCAAGGCTCAGGGTGCAGGTGCACACAGACCACATGTACACACCACATACAGGTACATACACAGCACATACATGTACAAACACAGCTGGCCATGCAGGTCAACCCAGACAGACACACATTGCAATCACATGAGCACAAGCAGCACCAATGGCCTCATCCTGCTCCCCTCTCTGACTGAACAGGATGGAGGGCCACTAGTGGGAGATACAGATTAGTGGGACATAATAAACAATATATAAAAAGAAGTCATATATTTATATATCCAAGTACAACATTGCTCTGCACCAGGAAGTCACTGAGAGTAAGAGGGTGCAGGTTTTTTTGGATTTCAGTAAGAAAGGCTTGACAACAAATGGCTTAATAGCTGTTTTAATATGACAGAACAAAAACAGGAATAAAATAATAAACGGGATAAAAAGAGGAATACACATAGTGGGTAAAACTTATGCCCATTTAGATGCTGGGCATCCTATGTTTGTGTGGCAGCAGATAGAGCCTTCTTAGATTTTCCTGTGTAGGTCCCATCCATGGAGGGTTTCCTTCTTCCCATGCCCTGGCATGCATGATGGGGAGGCATGGGGCACTCCATCAGGTTCCCATACAGCGGCTGCTCACATTAGCGTTCAGGCTACTCAAGCCTCACGTACAAGGCAGCGGAGCAAAGCAGACACATCTGTAAAACATCAACTCCCTGAATACACCACCTTCTGCAAGGCTCCCCGTATAGATGTGGATCTCTCCAGTGGCTGGGCTTACACACGTGGTCCAGGCAGCAGCTGACCCCTGGACCCTCTCACCTCCAGATACGTACATCCTCTCGCTGCAGTGTCTGCAGTTGCTGGCACCACAGGCACACCTCCCACCTGCAATCCTACTCCAGTTTCTGCACTCAGACCCCCATAACACACCCCCAGGGAAAGGGATTTAGTAAGACGACAGGACAGGTTGCACTGATCAGGTGATTTGCAAGGCTAGAAAAACATACTGACCAGCACCCTACTTACACAAAAGTGGCCCTTTTTAGAGAATCACAGAGTGGTTTGTGGTAGAAGAGACCTTAAAGATCATCTGGTCCAACCCCCCTGTTGTGGGCAGGGACACCTCACACCAGACCAGGTTGCTCAAAGCCTCATCCAATCTGGCCTTGAACGCTTCCAGGGCAGGAGCACCACAACTTCCCAGGGCACAAAGATTCATCTTTTTGTCCATGAATTTTTTTTTTTCATCATATCATCTTACTTGAAAAGGGGGTCTCTGGCTTCCTCAAGCTATACTTCTAACAGTGCAACTGCTCAGTCTTAATTGTAGGAGAGGAAGTGAGAAAAACTATGCAGATTGAAACAAACATGATGGGTTCTGGGTAAGGCAGTAAAAAAACTTGTCTCCGCCCACAAAAGAAGTGTTGTGGACAAACAACAGCAGTCTCCACCAGCCCAGGTATTCTGTGCCTTGCATTCAAAACCTTCCCCTCAGCCTGGCAGTGAGAGTGAGGACTGCAGCAGTGAGGACTCTTCCCAGAACGATGTGTATCTGCAGAATTACCCCAGAAATGATCATTTCCAGCACAGCCAGTACTGCAGGTTTCCTATGTACTGCTGGATTCATCTTAGCACTGAAGGGAACTAAACCTTCCTTATGGCCCGTGGATTGCCTAATGACACATGCGATCATGCAACATGTCCTGAGGCAATGGCCAAAAGTGCCCACATGGTTAATTTATTTTTCCAACAGTTTTGGCCAAAACACTGGCATCACATTAAGTGTTGAACTTCTTTCAGATTTTACAGGAATGATATACACTCCCACCCCATCTACAAAAAGCCTGCCTGTCAAGTGATCTGCAACCTTGTGATGCCAAGCTCAGCGCTCGCCAGCTTTGCTTTAGCACACAGAATATCACTGGCTTCAGAGTCTGTATTTTTCCCATGGCTGCAGTGCTGCCCGCTAGTACCTCCCAATGAGGGTAGCTGCACCAGCAGGTCCTTTAAAGACACAGTGTTAAAAAGCCTAACATGTTTTATTCAACAAAAGCAAGGACTCCAAGGCCTGCACAGTAACAGGAGTCCTGGTGGCCAGAGGGCAAACCCTCTAATCCAGAGCTGCAAGTTGATGCCTCATCCCCAGGACAGTTCACCTGTCACAACTCTGCTTCCCAGGGGTTCATGTGGAGTAAGGGCAAAAAGCAAAAAGGCTACAGACCTGGTTGGTCTGAGGGCAACTGTTAATTAATGAATTGCACACAGCTATGTATAGTAAGACTAGTACCACAATCTTGAAATAGGTAGGGATCTGCAAACCAATACACTTACAACAGGAATCTTCTCCTTTCTTACCCTGTGGAAAAATCATCTTTCAATTACAAAAAGCAAACCACATGTTTGAAAGATAATTGTGGTTTTATTTTTCTAAGCTTGCACTTGTGGAACATAATAAATGACCTGATATAATGACAACTTTGCAAAAGAAGAATCCCCCTCTCCCCAACATCTGGACAGCAATATATAAATATTTACAGTGAAAAAATAGGGACGGGAAGAGAATGAAGTCAACGTCAGCCAAGTCAGTTTGTTTCTACACATCTGATTTTGAACATCAATTATTTCATTCACTTCAATCTTAAACAACACTCTCTTTTTCCAGTACTGAGGCTTTAACTTCATTTTTAAGATCTTATGTGCAATAGATACACTCCTGCTCTGCTTCTATAGTTTTCTCCTGTACAGTAACCATAGAATTTCCCTACTAAATTTTTATTTTCAGTTTGTTAACTTTGAAAACAACAGAAAAATTAAATATAAGTTTGTCTCCTGATACAAAGTTTCTCACACAGTCAAACACATCACAACACTGAAAATCAGCATAGTTAAATGCTGTATAGCCTCTTCACAAGGAGATTAGGTCTGGGTCCTATCTGTTGGCTTTAACAAAAGCTCTCTTCAAATACAACAAGTACATATAGAAAAAATAACCTTCTTATTTTCTTGTTAAAAAAAGAAAATGGTGCTTTCTATAAACAAAAGATGCAATTTCCTGGACAGAGATATAAGTTACAGTAGAGAGAGCTCAAAACACTTCAAATAAAATTTGCATTTGTTTAAAAGGATGATTTAAGTTGATTGGAAGAGGTTCAATCAGCCCATTCAGTGTGAGAATTCTAGAAACGTCAGTGTAAAAAAACCCTACTGTTTTTTTTTTTGCTGTCTGCTATACAGTGTCACACAAACACATGACTGAGAACATGTTGCCAGCGGAAATGGTAGACACCAATCACGCACAATTTGGTTGTACTATGTCAACACTGATTGCCTTGTCCAACAAGAGGTTCAAGATCCTTCGGATACCGAGGTGCAGTCCTTAAGCTGGCGTGTCCCATATGTGAGCTTCGTCTGCCTCTAGAGCCCAACGATACACGGAGCCTTGGCTCTCTTGCTTTGTAATGTTCATTGAAGTCCAATCTAAAGCTAAGAAACCGAAGGCTTTCGTCAGAGCTGGTTGTCAGCAGGACCAAAAACTGCTGTACGATTCCCTGCAGGAGAAAGAAAAGCCCAAGGGACAGTTAAGAAGAAATCAGTGGAGTGTTCTGCACATGGAAGCCAGGTGGTGGCCAGGCCTGGCAAGTAGGCAGAGGGAATCTGGGAAAGAGCAAGCACAAGCATTTATACTCAACTGTTAACAAATGAGTTATGTTGGATTCATTCTTTCTGCAAATACCTAGGACTTCATTTTATGTTCAAACATCTGCCATGCACCTCAGTCTCCAGGGCAAACAGCTCGGTCTTTTAAACTGCCCCTGCCTTGCCCTTCCAGCACTCTTGATGTGTCTGATGGCTCCCAGGTTGCAAGGAGCTGCCCCTGCACCACTGCCCTGGTGGTCCCAGGGCAGCTCCACCATACCCAGAAGACCAATTCAGGATCCAATCTGCGCCAACAGGAGACCTCACCCGGTTTCTGCATTATATGTACAATGCAGGCCAGACCAGCATTAGACCACTACTTGCTTCAAAAACATGTATTTGATGTAGAACATATAGCAGCAAGTAGCAGCCCAGAGCAGCAGAGCATCTGCCAAGTAGGGCAGTCACTGCTACAAACCCAGTGGCTAGACTTTACACATCTGGAGCAGTTTACGTGGGACTTGCACTCATGTAGGAGGCATGCTTCTGGAGCCCATCTTGCCATTTGGCTCTAGACAAGGGACTACAGGTGCACCACAGCATGAAGGAAAGGAGAAGACTTTGGAAGGATAGGGGGACTCGCTTGAAGAGTTCATTCCTGATCTCCACTAATAGTAAAGATGACCAAGGCTGGCCAGGTAAGTCCTGTATGAAAAAATCTGTAATAGGACTCACTAAGAATGCAGTCCAAGCAGGCAAAAGATATATTCCCAACTTGGAGCAGTCCTGTAGAGCACACAAACTACAATGTATTCATAGCCTACACTTTTTAAAGAATTTGGCTCCATTTTTCTCCAGGAGGCAGAACTGCTGTATTTGGACCTTGTAACAAATTCCTCCCAGATTTGAAGTCCTCACTTCAGAGCTTCGATCTCTACAGCCTTCAACAAAAACCACCAGTATTTTGTAACCTGGGTACCCTATTCTGTTTTCACTCAAACTTCCATGTGAACTGAAATCTTCTGACATGCAGGGTAGCTATAGCCTGGCAAAGCTATACACAATACAGAAATGGATCTGCTGCTCATTTATTTACCTAGGGAAGCAATGTATGCTTACATGTTTAATATTTAAAGGCTGCTGTAGCATGTAGTGCTGTCTCCTAGGGAGGGCCCTTTCGTCACTTTCTGGGACACTTTCCCTGAAGTCTAACAGCTGACTTTCCCAGGGAATGGGAGTTTTAGAAACAGATATAACAAATCATGGCAAAGCTAGAATAATTCCCATCAAAGACGACAGCTTATATGCATTCCACCAAACACCTTACCCATTGTCCATCTCAGTGTGCTTAAAATCAAGTGTTAGGCCCTTAAAAAGGACCCTTTCTGCAGTCTTTAATAGCAATGACTTGCAAAAACAGTGAGAAGCAATGGAATGCAGAAGGAATTCTACTTCTTTCCAGTTTTCACCAGAAGATAGTTATTGCTTCCATTACTGAAGGAAGGAGAAGACTAAAGAGACTATTCTTCTTTGTCAGGGGAACATACATGATCACAAAACCTCTGTCTACTGAGGAACAGTGAGCACAGGTTTCTAAGTAGAGAAGCAAAAACATGAAGACTTATATCCACAAACTGCGCACAGGAATGTAGAAGTTGCACCATACTCCACATTGGAAATTAATTTCTACATATCAAAGCTTAGCATCCATATTAAAAAATATAATTTAAAGGGGCACCTGGTAAAAGTGAGTGAGTATTCGCAGCTGTGAGCACATTTTGGGTACTGAGTCTTGAAATTCTTTCATTCTCTTGCTCTCTTCTTCCTCTTCTGATGCAGTTACACCCCATTTGCCCTACACAGAGACCAAATGAATTACAAGGTTAAGTGTCACATGATGAAAACTGCAAACTGGATCACCCTCTGACCAGCCAAGCCACCATGTTTATACAAATCAACTGTTACCATAGAAAGCTAGACATGGAGCCTCTAGTACTGAAACTATCAGGTCCATTGGTGATTGCACAGCACATGAAAGAAATCTGAGGTTAGCAAAACAGGCGAGTCTCACACCAGCACTGCATTTCCCAAAGACAGTAGGGAGATAGGCATGGAGCAAGGAGCTATGGTATTTTTTGCAAAAAGGTTCAGAATATTAAAGCTTCTCCTATTTCCTTCACCTAAACCAGACCTAAACTTCTCATCCTCTAAAGCCTACTGCAGAATCTATTCACCTAGAGGTTTTGGATAGAAAGACAGAAATGAAAAACATAATTCAGCAGTTTTGTCTGAATACACTAGCTACTGTTGATGACTTTTACATTTATCCCAACTACATTTTTCTGTTTTGCTGTACCTCCACATGATACCTAAAATCCTCTGTATATCAAAAGACAAGTATATCTGCCTCAAGAAATTTTCACGTTCTTGCAACATCCTTACTGTACCTCAAGCTCACGCTGTTTTTTCCTCTCTTCAAACTGTAACCTCAGCTGCAGCTCCTCCAAAGCAGCTCTGTACATTGCATCTTGGGCATTCTGGAGCTCAATGATCTGATCAAAAACAGCTCGAAGCTGGTTGAGAAGTACCTGTGAGACCATTAAGCAACAAAACAATGAAGAATTCTGTAGCAAAAGTTTTAAGTTACAACCATTCTTCAGCACATGAGTAAATTAAAACTTTTTACACACTACTAGAGAGACTGTTTTGCAAAGCTCTAAGTCAGTTGTTGCATGATCACGCAGCTTCTTAGGACCAAAAGCAACTGGCCCAAATTATAACAAGTTTTATAATCACCATCTGTCACTGCATGTCAGCAGTATGTACAGAGTTTACCACTATAAGGTCTTACATCAGAGGAAGAAAAATGACTTTTCCTCTTGCTTCTACAACATCAGAGAAGATGGCTCCTAACACATAATCCAAGATTATGAATTTACGGTTTAACGCAAAGGTGAAGACTTACCCTGGAATCGCTGTCCAGCAAGCACCGAGCTATGATTGTGTCTAGAAAAACTTCGTGAGCTGCAATGATATGATCCAAGTCTTGTGCTTGTTGGACCTTGTTCCAGAGTTCATCCCACGAACATTCAAGCACCTGGAGCAATGATTCAGGATTGGGCTGTTTTGATTTGCTAGATGACAAGCTCTTTGAAATTTAAGACACACAACACACACAGAACATTAAAAGTACTTCATTTTTAAGCAACTAATTGGGTGGATAGAGTATACCTCAAATGTAATGTAATACTGCATTTGATGAATGAAATGGACCATTTCTGATGCCAGAACGTGACACTGATGCAGCACCCCAGAAAGCTCTGTAAAAAAATCCAAAGAGATGGCATGTTAAAGACCGCAAAGACAGGCAGCTTCAAACCAGCTTGGTAAACTTTTTCTACCAAATCGAGTACTTCATAAAACAGCCATTAGCCTTGGATGGTAGCAGCAATACTGTCTGGGAACAAATGAGCAAAGAACATTGCACAATTAACTCCTAGAAAATGTGAGTCAAAGACGACACCAACTGTGTGCTCAGACAGTACTGGAAACTTTGAGTATCACAAGTGAAGACGATCCTCTCAAAAGACCAAAATACAGTAAATGTCCCATGCGTTCTTTTGGTGGAAAATCTGACACCACAGATTTACAGTTGCTTCTGGGGCCTCTCATCTCTTACCATTACCCTTCAAACTAGGGACAGCATATTTCTTGTTACTTAGCTACACTGATATCAAAAGGGAGGGTGGTTGTGACAGAGGTAGGAATTCTGTGGCTCGTGTGGTCCAGGCTCAATTCCCTGATCCACCAGAGACCCACAGGCAAGTCACTAATGGCCTCAGCTGCTCACCTGTAAGAGAAGGTCTTTTTTTTGTAGAAGGGTATTATCAAGATAACTATCAACTGCAAAGGTTCTCTGGAATGAAGATACTCAGCCTTGTGAAACCAGGCAGACATCCAGACAGAGGAAGCCATTTCTAAAAAGCTGTCAACATAATTTGCCACTGCAGACAAGCTATGAGACTGCTGCAAAAGGAATTCTACATTTTCACATCTTCGGATGTTACAGAACCATCCTATAATCTGACAGATATTACAAGCTACTCTGTTCTTCATTTCTTATGCCTTTGCAGACTATCTCTAGCAAATTATGTTGTATCTGTTTTGAATAGGATTAATAAAAAAACCTCCAGGGTTGGCTAAACAGCAGAAACTCCTCAACACTGGCGAGCTGGATGCATCAGTGTTTCTTCAAATTAGTGACAGGAAAAGCATGAGCTTGGCACTACTGTCTAAGTATTCCTTTAAAGCATTAAAATCCCTGGCTTTTAAGACTTTTTGGGAATCGTGAATAAAACTATCCTTGAAGGTCAATGCTACCTGTTGTGGTTGAAAAAACAAAAGACCCTGCAGCTGCTTCCTCCTATCTTTCATTTGGTGCTCTGTGACTGGAAAAAAATAAAAGCAAGTTCTACTACTTCTTCACAAATCAGTCCTGGGGCAGACTCTCCGTCTATTTTGGGGAAAAAAAAAAATCTACTTGCAGCTTCCAACTTAAGACATGCCAGTGATAAAGAAAGACTTCTGCCCCTCCAGGCAGAAGGCAGTACACGTCTTTGTAAACACAGGCTCCTTTGTCAGAAGCATAAACTGAGAAATAACAAGGCTCACCTCCTTCTACCAACAACAGCTATAAGAGCTTGGCCAGCATTTTAAGTGTCTGCATTACTGAAAACATACCCAAACATAAAGGTGACAAGCAACTGAGCTTTCACTTACAGAAGGCTGCTCCATGGCAAAGCATAAGAAAGGTCTCCTAAAAGGTGTGGGGAGAAGGAAAAAACACCAAACCTCCTTCTGAGAACAAAAGAACAAATAAAACCCTAGCAATGGGACACAGCTCCAGCCCAAGAACCCTCAGGTGATGAGAATGAAATCTGTCAACTGCACCCTAGGCTCAAAAAGGAACAGAAAGAAAGAATACTTTCTGGTTTGAGTCATACAAGCACTTACTTGGAACAGGGAAATGACAGCAAACTAAATCCTATCTCACAGAAACAGAAAGGAAACCTAGTTAAGCCATACAGTTCCTAAGATCAGTCTTATGCGCTGAAGCAGGCTTGACAAGTTTGTTTCCCAGCAACCTTCTGAGGCCAAAGTGTCCATTCTCACCCACCAAACAGTTCCTAATCATGAAAATATAAATGTGTCTTTGCAAATATTACTATGCCAAAAAGAAGCATAACCCTCAATAGCTATTTTTCACTGGGAGAACTATAGATAGGTAAAAAAGTTAAGATTGAGCCAGTAGATGCCCACAAACAGGACTATATTCTCAGCTGAGAAGTAGGATCAAAGAGCCCCAGTCTATTAAACAATCAGAGCCACTACACTGAAGAGCTTTCCTATATCTTCTCAAACAGGTGATTCTCTTATCTTAGCCTATTCTGTTCTTAGCTAAACAAAAGCACCGGGAATGAGTGAAGGTAAAAGTAGTAAATTCAGAAGTGTGCATGTGTGAGACTTATACTTTCAGCATAAGAAAGAGGGAGACACAGGGTACAGACAGGAAAGCATCAACAAAGATGAATACAAGGGGATGGAAGAGTAACAGTCTCCTGGCGAAACATGGGATGTTTTGTTCGCTCACTGCTACAAAAACTAAAGGGACTAAATAAAACAAACAGGAAACTTCCATTTTCAATAATGCTATTTTATCTTCATCATCTACCATTAAAGAGTCAGTGAAGAGAAGCAACAAAATATAAAACTAATCTGTCCCAACAGACTTCCCCACCATTAATACAGTTTAAAAATAAGATGCAGTTATCTAAATCCAGTTTACAAGTATGTAATTCATTTGGGCCCCTCTTACCTGGTATACTTTTCAGTAGCTTTGCATTGCACATGTGCCCTTTCCATATATCAGTAAGAATATACTCCATTCGCTTTGCTCTCCAAAGGAAATTAAATACTCTTAGATAGTGGCTCATGCACTCACGTGTAAATACCTATCAAATAAACAAAACATCAGTAGAAATTTAATAGATATATCATGTGTTCTGAAGGACCAAGAACCTCTTCACAGCCCATCTTATCCTACCCATACAGCTTACTGGTAAACATTGTCAAAACAAAGCCCCTGGAAACCCCAGAGCCTTTGGGAAGATCATCCCTCGGTGGCTGAACTGAGTTATCTAACATTCAAGTAGGTACAGGGCACTGCTGAAGGCAGAGCTACAGAACCTGCTCTGGTCCAAAGTGCACTTCAACTGCGCCTGCTTACAGTGCTATCTTTTTATTTTAACCATTTTATCATTAAAAGGATTCCCACATTGTAAATTTTTCCATATCATATTATTGAAAAGACTGAAGAAAATGGAGTAGAAATGCATTGCAGCTTATAAGCTTCTCTACACAAGTCCTTCACATAGGCATCTTCTCCATATCCAAACAAAGTTAAGAAAAAAAAAAAAGGTTTTGCTGCCTTTTTTCTTTTTTTTAAATCCTTAGTACTGCTGAGATGCTTTTGCCAGTTCCAACTCATTGTAGGCTGAGAAATTACAACTGTATTTGTTGTCCTACCAACATGCCAATTGAAAAAGCTTGGACCCACATGCTAGGAAGCAATCATTTCTTGGGAGGTTCTGACTCCCATATGGGAGTAAGTGCAAGAAGGGAAGAACAAGACAAAGCCTAAACATTTTGCTCTTTTCAAGCTACATATGTATATAAAAATTCCTTATGCTGGGCAGACTTGCGTTTTGATGTCCTGTTTAGAAAGAAAAAGTTCTTTACAAGGTCTTTATAGAAGCTAAATACAGTCTGACCAATAGTGCAATTATTTTCTCAGTAGTTCTAACGAACACTACCTATCAAATTTCATTTAGACAGTACAAACAGGTTCTCCTCACATACATTCTTCACTTCCTTGCAAATTATCCCAAATTAGCAGCTACAGTATAGTAATAATGGAAGAAGAGCAACACTCCATTTATTAAGTACTTGCTAAAATCTCTGCTGGAACAAATGAATTACTGATTTTCAGTAATGTTTGTTTTAAATGTAGCTTTTTAGCACTCATAATTAATTTATAAGAATTGCTATTTTGGCTCAACTGTTTACATAGTGGGTACATTCTAGATACCCAAAAGAAAAAGGTAATTTCTCTGATCTTACACTCCAGAATAGAAAAGGTTATTTCAATTAAAAAAAATAAATTAACAATTCAATTCAGTATCTGAAACAGGTTCACAGCCAGCAGTATAGGACATTACCGTTGCTATGGGCCCATCAACATGATAGTCCAAGCTGAAGACATCCCATCCAGTGTCCCCCGGCGACACCTGTATTAAAAAGATATGCTACTTTCAGCAAATAACCAGAGCATACTAGTGCTGAAGAGCAACTCTCGCTTACTCTTCCATTCTCCAAAGATTGCGAAAAAGCAAGTACGCACACCCATACAGGACATTAGCAGAAATGAACCAGAGTTTGACATAACGGTGTGATTCATCTTGCCCAAATGTTGATGCTTGTATTGTCAGTGTTCTTCCATTGGGGCTAGTAAAGGAAATGAAGGGAAGAAGAAATTTCTCAGGCAGGACACAACCTAAGGTACAGACATATTTCAGATGCTACAGTACATCGGTTCACTCCCACCTCTGGCACTGGAGCTCTCTCATTAACTCAAGTTTCTTAACAGAGGTCTCATTCATGAAACACACTTTCATTGCTTCACTTTTTGTTACTGGTGACAAAGAGACTGTCTCCCAGATTCTGTTAAGAGCAAGAGCAGTAGGAGCTATTTGCAGAAACTCAAATCAGGGCCATGAGCACCAATTATTGTTAGACCTCAAATATTCAACTTCGTATTGTCAATAAAATGGATGTAAACCCACACCTTGAAATACAAATAGACAATAGGTAGGAAGTGGGAAAAGAGACGACTTAGGTTTACATAACCTAAGGTTTACGTAATTCAAAGTAGACTTCAACGGAAAGGTAGGGGGTGTATTTACTTTATACACATATGAAAATTGTTTCATATAGATGCCTGCATGTATACACACACATACAAAAAAGGTATGTTTCAGGTCAGAGACACCATGATGCAACAGACCTCCAGAAGTCGAACATCCAATCGCTTGAGAATCTCAGGATTATCAAACTGGGCATTAGTGGCCCTCACCGCTGTTTCAAGGATTCCAGTTAGATTATGCTGATACAAAGTTGTAGCTGGTCGTGCAAGCTCCGGCCTAGTGGTTATGAAACAAACATTCATAGCATATTACCAAAGTATTCTGCAGCAGCAGTTTGGTAACTGCAGCACAGTGAAACACTTTTCTGACACTTTCAAAACCTCTCCTATTACTCTTTCAGTTTTAACCATGAAGAAAATCAATGAGCAAAATATTCAAGCAGAATATGTCTATTCATATGCAGCTATACACCTGAACATCAGCATGAGGTGTAACATTACCTTCATTTAATGCCACTAATTTGAAATTACCAGGATTGCTAGCATAACCATTCTGTAATTTGAGCTGCATTCATATCTAAGATGAGGTAGATTACATCATTAGCACATCAAACCAATCATTTCATTTCAGGTTTGAGAGACTTACTGTTAGCCATCTCATGGGCTTAGAAGTGCTGGCAGAAGCACAAAAACCCACTCCCTCTATGTAACTTAAAACTTTCCAAAGAGTTGCAACACGCAAGTAACAAGCACCTTGCATGACTCCTCTCCCTCATGATCAGTACTGGAAAGCTCCTCACTACTTCTGCCTCTAATGTAGTACTGACTACACAAACCAACCTTATTCTGCCTCACACTAATTTTCACTTTTAAAAGCATGGTCATGTACAAATAGTCACCAGACAATGCTGATTTTGATGGAAGCTGTATTACAAAACCTGCCTTCTAGACCAAAGGAAAGCTTTGTAAAAGACATTTTTTTGGTAGACTAAGTTTCATCAGTAGCACAAGCACGTAGAAGTAGTAAGCTTGCAAATACACTTTAAGAACTGAAATTGATACTTGTGGGTGCACCTGAGTGCTTAAAACAAAGGCTGGTGAGGCATAATTAAATTTTTTAAAATGCATGAAGGGGTTCTGACACAATGTTTTGCGCAAGACACCTCCAAAATATAGAAGCCTACCATTCACAGTAAGGCTAACTAGTGACATCAAGAGCTACAGGACTTTTCTGCTTAAACTTGCTGATAGAAGCAAAAGAAGCGCTAACATCCTCAGGGCTGTCACAGGGTCAGTGTAAGATACGTATATTAGTGCAGCTTCTCAAGTGGTACTGTACATACTTCCTAACAAAAAGGAAGAACAAAATTAAAGGCTCAGGGTCAAAGAAATTAAACCCAAGATAGAATTTACAAGGTGTTGAATTAAACCTTTGAGCAATAAGATATTTAAAGCGTCCTCTTCCAAAGGCAAAACAGCTTCTGTGTTGCTCATGCACATTTGCAAGCATCAGAATTTCAACATTATTACCCTTCCTATTTTCTTACTTGAGCAAGTCCATTAAATGCCTGATAAAGTCTCCTTGACCAAGCAGTAAGTAGCGCCTCATGGCCTGCATGTGTTCCAGTAAATTGTATTTCTTATTAAGAACATCCAGCAGGTATTTGCTGGTCTCAAAATAAGCTGCATCGATTTTCTCTTGAAATGCATTTTCCAGATCTGTGAACAAATCGGCAGCTAGAAAAAAAGAAAAAAAAGTTTAAAATTGTATTTTTATAAAACAGGCAAACAAACTTCGGAATTGAAACATACAATCAGACATTGCTGCTTATTCTGATCCACTATATTATACATTTAGCATAGCCAAAGTGAAAGCAAGTCTAAAGCAGACCATACTTCACCATTATTACTTTTAATCTGTGCCCAGCCTGTACTTTCCAATAAGAGTTCATACTATTCCATCACTTTTACACAGAAAGTGAATTTTCTTTTAGCTTGCTGAAATAGTGTAATTTACAGAAACAAACTGTTTGAAGAAAATCTAAAAGCTCAGAGTTGGGGAAAAGCTTTATTGGGGGGGACTAAATAAAAAGTTACTTTAAGGGTGTGTGGATAGTTGGGGGAGAAATAGAAGAATCAAGTCAGAACATTCAACAGAAAAGAGTTCCCACATGTATGTCAGAGTGAGAGAGGAGGGAATATGCTTGCATGGTCTGAGGGACAGCCAGCAACCTGATGTTTTTTTCTCTCCACCTTTAATGCATGACACTCAGGGTCAGAAAGTGGGACACCATCCTTCAGTAGAGAAGCACATTTCATTCTTTTCTACAACTACAAGCTTGTTAAGAAAGGGACCACAATAAAGCTTTTATGAGATAGCAAGAAGAGAAAAGTAACCTCTTCAGGCAAGATGGAGCAAAACTCCAAATACTGGACTGCCAACTATCTTAAGATTCAGGCCTTCCTCAGCATTAAGGATATACTCCCACTTTCAACAGTTTTTAATTGCACAACTATTTGTATAGTAGTTTGGTATCTGAAGATCCAGGTACCAAATTTGTGTAAGACAGTGCATTGCCTGCACCAGGACTAGTTTCAGCCTGCACTGCAGACAGGAAAAATTAAAACCAAGTTTCATGTTGCTCTGATGACATTCAGCCTCAATTTAAAAAAATGCTTTTTACACTGAAGAAAAAAAAGTGGTTCTAATAAAGAAGTAACTTTTTAATGAGAGAAATCTCACAATGTCTGGTCCAATAACACTCCCCGAGGTTTCCAAACTCTGATTCAGAAACCTGTAAAGTTCTCCATAAGACAGCAAGTGCAAACATATGCAGAGATGTCAAAGAAATGATACTTGTATAAAACATCACGGTGCTCAAAATCCCTATGCTAAAAGAATACTACTTAAAGTAACACACAAAGCTTGGGGGATGTGAGAATTAATACAGCCTGTAGGTAAGGAATCCCCAAAGTGCCCTTTCCAGTCACTGATAGCAAGCCAGGAGAGACACCTCACCAAGATCTTTTAATCACAGAATTAATTCATCATATGATTCCATAATAATACAGAAGTGTATTTGATGAGAAGTTGCAACTACTAAATTCTTACTGCAGCACTCAAGAACATTCCTGTCCCCACCTTATTCCTTCCAACAAAAGTCAGCTGAAAGCAGACTGGTTTCTGAATGGTTTCATTCAGAAATCCGGTACATTAAAAACCATCCAGCAAAGTAAAGAAAACTATACGTGTGCATCTTCACGCATCTTGTAAAATGAAAATATTCATTAAAATACCTATATTTTAAGGTAGATAGGACTTTTGTACTCCTTTCTAGCACACTATCCAAAGTGTCAGTTTAAAGTTTAAATTGCATTGTGCAGAGCTCAGTTCAAAGGAAAGAAGTTGACCAACACCGATACTCTACCATCTTTTGAAGACTCTGTAGACTTTGCCACAGCAATCATCTTTGTGGATGGAGTTTGATCATGACAAACCTGATGCAAGAAGTTTATGGATTTTCCTATTAGGAGGACCTAAACACAAAAGGATTTGTTTCTTGTAAGTGATTTACATATCAAAGAAAACAACCGACCAAACAACAAAGCCACCCAAAACCATCAGGACAACAGGGTATTTTGTCATCTTTCTGTGCTCTTAAACTTCACAATCCCAACCACAGCAATCCAGAACTTCAGCACTAACAAAGCTCTCTCTCCTCCCTTGAGATCTCCTTAAAGTTTCAGTTAGAGAATGCAAAGCAGAAAGTCTTACAGACTTCTTCAGAAAACTACTATACTAACGTAGCTATTCTTAAGATGACTATTAATTGTTAAATTTGTCTCTGTTTTCTTAATGGAAATCTAAACAGCAGCATAAGGCCAACAAATAATCAGAAGATTAACTTTTCAATTCATACCTTTTTTGATTGCTCCATTGTAATAAAAGAAGGGATCATTGATTTCCTCAAAGTGTATTTGTCATGCCACAACCGATCAGTTTTAACTGTTGGATCTGAAGCTACAAAAAACTGTAGATCAAAATAAATATTAGAAACAAAATATGAATATAAACTCTCTCCTCTTACATTTCATTTAAGTTTTCAGAAAAGTATAAAAACATTTCTGAGTTGTTCTTAACTACAAAGGAAAAAAAATTCACAGATAACATGAATCTGGCAGAGTTATGCTGGCAATTGATATGCAAATTGTATCTTGACCAATATGAACACTGAAGAAAAAAATTAAAGAACAGCTCACAGAATTTTATCTCCTCTGTATGTTATAAGATCTTGACTACCTCAGGGTAAAGTAATATGTACTATATCTGTAAAACACCCACTAGGAAATACAGAAGCATATAGTTTTTCAGGCAATTAGTTATATAGTTAGGGTAGGAGATAAATTTCAGAACGTGAGTGCAATATCCTTTTATTTTACTGGTTCTATTGCCACCTAAGCTATTTTGGATTTCCTCATATTTGCACAGATACAGAACTGCAGAAAAAAACCTCATGAAATCCAAACCCAAATCCAAAACCCAATTGAACTGGTGATCAAATACTAAGGCTTCTCAGCTCCACACAGAGGACTACTTTCATTTGTAGAAAAACTATCTACGCAATTAATTCTGCTAAAATGATGTGTGGAAGGATTCTGTCAAACAAGACAACTATTTTATGGACAAGAGCTTTTTTCACCGCCTCCAAATACCATTTCCACCAAAAATGTCCATTGTATTTTTTCAAAACCCATGTCTATGGTATGACAATTGTAGCTTTCAGAATACCACATCCAACAGTCATTTTCAGTATTAAGAACACAAATATAGTGCACGTATAAATTTTTAAGCAAAGACTTGAAAACCAATGAATTATATAAAACCCAAGAAAGACACCACCTCATCAGTCTGAGGGACACCTGGGAAAAAAAAGTCTATTTTACACTCCTAGCCATAAAGATTCACAGATATTTAACACAAGTCTCCTAATGCTGACCTTAAAGATCAGCTGTGGGTGATATTTGTACTCATTTTAATTTTGAGCCTGATGGACAGTTTCAGAAGTCAGACAGCACATTTCACACTTAAGTTACTCAGATGTGTCTCAGAAGCGGTCAATTTATTTAAAAAAAAAATTCTTTGGCTTCTTGGAATGAAAAAAATCTCCCTTTAACAAGACTACTTATTTGAGACAGGAAAAAAAGAGTTGGAAGAGCTTAAAAAGGCATAAAACATTTTTAAGGAAAGGGACAGTTACTAGAATTTGCTGCTACACAAGTCAGAACCAGTAACTCTGCAGAGTTTCTAGAGGAATGCTGGAACCATAAACCTCTTCTACCCAATTTGACAAGCTGAAGTTATTTACAAAGCTGTGGATAACAGCAGGTAGTCAGAGTAAAATATTCTGAACTTTATTTCAAATGCAAGGCTTGCATTTTAAACAGTTATAAAGAACTCTGTATACATTACTATCGTAACATTAAGCAAGAAAAGAGAAAGAGATGACTTCATCTCTCTCCAGGAGCAAGCACCTATTGTTAGTCCATCATTCTGCCTTCACTAAACAGACCCAGGAAGTGATTCATTGAAGACAACACCCTGCAGCATTGCAACCTCCAGATACCACACTGACTGAATCCATGAAGAGTGTCACATTTCATGCTGTTATTGTATATATTACTTACTCGTATGTTATACGTTTCCATCACAGTCTACTTTTCAAAGTCTCCTCTAAGTTTCCCACAGATTATACTCTCACAAAGCAAACGAACAGAGAAAAATCTTTATTGTATCATACACATTACCTCATGGTAAGTATCCTCCAGCTCTCCATCATAAATCCAGCGATAAAGGAAATTCAGTACTGGATGAGACACCAGGCCAAGAATGTGCTGAACCAGAGATCTCATGTAGGGATCTCCTGTTTTAGTATAGGCGTGAACTGCTGAGGCCAGTTCACCCCCTTTTCTCCCTGTCAGATCATAAGGGAGAGGAACAGAAATATATGAAGGAAAAAATATATACAACATACTTAAATTCAGCAGCCACGGATTTTAAATGGTCATATGTCACTCAGAGCTTGCTGAGCAGCAACTCTAAAATGTAGCAAAAGCACATTCTTTATGTTAACATGGAATTGGTAAGTTTTAAGGCATGAATCAGTAATCTCACTGAAATACTAAGCACAGTTCTCTTGACACTGCATTCTGTCTACTTTATGGTAGCTTGGAAGAATACAAATTTCAAGGCACTGGATCACACATTAAAGTTGACTTTATGCTTCTTTTCTTCCCCATGACTCCCACCAAAAGAGCATTAAAGCCTTCGTATGTTTCCCTTCTCTACTGTACTTGAGTCTCTCTCAGATGTTGCATGTGCATACGTACGCTCAAACACATCTTTCCTGTGTCTTGGTTATAGTTTCCCTCCATAACTCCTTTAGGCATTATCTCCTGTCTTCTTGCAGTTGAAAGGTAAGATGCTGTCAAAAAACCTCAACCAAACAGGTCTAGTACTTGTTTTGCTGTTATGCTGCACAGCTTAAAGGTTCTTTGCAGCATAACAAACAAGGAACAGCTACAAGGCTGGAGCATTCAAAGTTTTCAGGAATGTCTTGGAAGTAAAGCCCACTATTTTATTCCCCAAATCGTTACCAATTCTGATAATTAAGGTAAAACAGATGTTAAGCTTTTCTGATTAAGATGATCTTTCCAAAGGGTCACAATCTCCATTTATTTTTAAAGACATCAAAGATGAAGTACCCTCAGGGAGAAGCATAGCCTATGGGTCAGTTACTGGCCAAAGTTTTGGTCAACTCCAACACCACTCCTCAGAGTTTTCTTGTGGATTGCCAACACAGCCAAGCACTATGTGCAAATTTGTAAAGTTTCATTGTTTCACAGGAATCTGCAGACAAATCTGCAAATTACTCCTATACGCCATGATATATAGAGGAATAGCATAATACTTATACATAGTGAAGAGACTAAGCCAACCATTTCATACCGTATCTGTGGGCTTTTTCACAGAGTAACATTCTCCGAAAGATTATTAAAATGGAATCATTGAAAACAGCAAGAAAGGTGCATGCTTAAAATTCAAAGGAATTTTCAAGCACATTCTAGTTTTTTAAAAAGTAGAAAAACATTAAGTGTGTCAAAACAGCACTAAAGTTTGTCAGGTTTTTTGATTAAACTAGAAGTGTGAGAATCCTTTTCATTAGCTACTTAGAATGTTCTAAAAAACACAACAGTAATATTATTGATATCCACCTTTGGCATGCACAACCACTCAAAGTTTCATCACTTCCCCAGAAATATTCAAATAATGTTAAACAGACCTTGACAGTGATCAACAAGTGCTGCAAGAGTCTTTAACCTTATTTTGGGATCGTATGTCCAGACCAGAAGACGGCGAAGTGTTAAACTGCTCTCAAGTCCCAAATTCACACCCTGATCATCTTCCAATTGCAACTGATCAAATTAGAAAGAGAGACATATCAAGGAACAAAACTGGCAAAACTGAAGTTTCATAATTTTTGTCCTGAAGTTAGTTTTTGCCTAATACATGTGAAATACCCAGTATTACATGTTCTCTCATTAAACATTTGGGCCAAAACCAGAGTGACACACAAGTGGAAATAGAGAATCAAGTGCAGATGAAAGGACAGAGACAAACAGAAGTGTAAGAGGGCAGACAGAACACAAAGGTGAATACAGTTTAAAAAAGCAAGGTGATAGACAGTCACAAAAGGAGATGAAGAGCAAAGGAAAATAGAGCAGAGATCCTGAAAGACAGAAAATACTGGCCAGAGATGCTCAGAGTAAAAAAAACAACAAAAAACCCACAAAAAAAACATCTAAAAGAAAGGAAGGGTGTAGGTGGTAAAATTTTTTATTGCTGCACAGTCAGCTTATTTTAGTTCAACATGGGAAAAATTCTGTTCAGTGCCTTACTCCAGAAGCTACCACAACAGAAGTTAGGTATATAGTGAAATTAAGGAATTGCTACCATCAGAAAAAAAATATATTAAAAACCATGATAAGAAAAATCTGTCACAATGTGACTACCACGAATCATCCAATACTGTGGAAAACGAAAGCCAAATATCTGCACCTGAGAGGCCAATGCACACCTCATACAAGTACAGGACAAGAACACAACCTAAGAATAGAGAAGCAAGTTCCTAGAGCAGTCCAAGCAGACAAACTCTTAGAAAAGATGCTCTTTTGTGTATGTGACAACCAATCCACTCCATGCTTCCACGTCCAGCACACTTCTTTTTTTCCAAATACAATATATCAGTTAAACTTAAGGTTAGAGTCATCCACATTAAGCTCAGCCTTAAAGCCAGTTAAATTAATTCGCCTCTGCATGTTCCTGAGTCCATGGAGGTTTTTTTGGTTTTGTTGTTTTACTTTATTTGCAAATTGGCAATGATTAAAAGATCATTAATGAGCAAGAATGATCCTTTGCCTTTAGGGTGGAGATTATATGCCTGTATCTTCATCATGGAAGTGCCTTTTTAAAGGGGCTGATAATTTGAAAACAGTCTGCAAGGAAAAGACTGAAAAGCTTATGGAATAGTATACAGTTCACGCAGGAAGACTCTTTCAGAGGAAGAGACATGTTTGGAGGAAGCTCTAAAGACATAACAAAGTTAGAGAGAGAGAGGCAATACAGAACCCTTTGAAGATATTATGATGTACTACTATGCCTGAACTGAAACTGCAGCTAACAACTCGCAAGCCAGCAGCCTGTGTGATCTCCTGGATTACAAGAATGCAACATGCACTCAACTCCCAGACACCATCTTCTACTTTTTCAAAAAAGTATGTATTGACTGTTGCCTACCAGAATGCACTTAATCAAGATACTCATGAACTCTAACACTGGAGATCAATCTGGCAAGGAAGACAAAGAGCAACAAGAAAAGCAGTTCAGGCTGGGAAAAATGTGGGTCCAACTACTGAGTGGTGCTGGGAAAGCAGTGACAGAGAAATGAAAAAAGATGAGGTACTCAATGCCTTCTGTGCCTTGCTTTTTTGGTTAAGATTTAACATTGGGAATACCAGATGTTACCTGAGATCAGAGGGGAAGTCTGGAACAAGAGAGACTTACTCCAAGTAGAGAAGGATCAGGTTAGGAAACATGAAACAAACTGGATATACCTAAGCCTATGAGAGCTGATGGAACGCACCCACAAATGCTGACAGCACTGGCCAATGTCACTGTTAGGCCGCTCTTGATTACCTCTGCAGCATCGAAGCAATGAGAAGAGGTTCCTGATGACCAGGAGAAAGCAAATGTCACTCCTCTCCAAGAAGGAGGATCCACAGAACTACACACCAATGAGACTCACCTCACTCCCTGGAGTGCTGGAACAACTAATCCTGGAAACTATTTCCAAACATAGGGAGGACAAAAAAGCTTTTCTCAGGAAGAAAAGCTCAGGGAAAAGGAGGAGGAAGTGGGTACACTTGTGGCAACAGAGTTTGTCTTCCCAAGTAAGCGTTAAGTGTACTGAAGCCCTGCTTGCCAGGAAGTGGCTGGACGTCTGCCTGCTGATGGGAAGTAGAGAATTAATTCCTTACTTTGCTTTGCTTGCACGCACAGCTTTTGCTTTTCCTATTAAACTGTCACTAACTTGACTGACTTGCCTTTTTGCCTTCCTTCTGTTTTCTTCCCATTCCCTAAGAGACAGGGGTGAACGAGAGGCTGGGTGGGTATTTGGCTGCTGGCCAGGGTCAACTCACCACAAAGGCAAATGCAGTTTGAAAATAAGTGATGCCAGAACTTTCCTTTCATCTTCCCCTTAGACACTTTCCCTCCCACCAGACTCATCTCTTCTTTAGAAATGTCTAGTGGAGCAGGAAAGGTAGAAGTCAAATACTTTCATCTTCAAGAAGTTTTAGAAGTCAGAATAAACCAAAACTCCAGCAAACCAAGAGAGAAAACTTATTCTGGACAGAGCAGGAAATAATCACAGAAAGAGTAACTGGATAGTAGCCTGGAAAAATAAGCCAAAAATTTGTATGACAGGTGTTTCAAAAGTCAGGAATATTAAAGAACTGCACGTGAGTCAAGAGGAATAGATGCTTTGAACACATTTACACAAGTCCACGACTTAAACTACAGATTTTTTTTTTTAAGTTGGAATTTTAAATGGCATTTTAAATTTAACTTTAGGTCAATTCTCAAAATAAATTTTTCTCAATTACAAATTATGAACTACTTGAAAGCAACTGTTGTTACTAGCTGATGAACCATGCATTGCTTGAAATACAGAAAGAATTCTCCCTTCAAAGATGTGTCATGCTGTTTGGAATTTGAATGATAAAGATATCATGCAAGATACTGACAAAAATAATGCAAAAAAAGGTACAGAGACTTAGAAATACACATTATATTCCTTGCTTATGTCATACATCAAATAACAGTGAATTTCTAAGAGAAAAATATTCATTGGTACATACATTCAAAAAAAGTAAAAAACATGTGTAAGTTAAAGAACTATGTCCACTGTCAATAGGAACTGCTGAAGTGATACCTAAGTATACCTTTTAGGAGATACTGTAGGAGATAATGTAAAGCAAAATAAGAAAGTTAAATAAGACCCATTTAACTTACCTGAGAATGTAAAACAGACAGAAGTCGGTAGTATTCTTTAAGTTCCTGATGTAAGGCTGCACAAAAACTCTGTGAGAAAGACAAGAAAGAAAAAAAAAAAAAAGACAATTTCAGGAGAAATCTCTGGTTTGATCTAGAATAACTTTTATCCCGTCATCACACTGTGAAAGTGGTTTAAAATTTCCTGAAATGAATCGAGCTGTAAGTTTCAGCACAAAAGCCAACAAACTGGCCAAGATATAAGTGATTCCCTAAGAGATGCATCGACCTTTTCCAAGGATACATATACACTGTCAAGTGACTCTGTTTCTTGCTGTCTTAATTCTATCAACAAATTAAACTACAACGAACATAACTCTGTAAATAGATATCATCTCAAGACATTATTAATTACCATAAGGATGTACAAATAATAACATGATCCAGAAGAAATTTTCTCTTAAAATAATGTAAAATACAGTATGTAGTAAAGTAATAGGAGTTTCAATTTCAGGAAGGCCTCTAATCACAGAACACAGAAATGAGGCGACCATCACTACATTTACAACATAGGCTATATGACATGAACAAGAAAACACAATGCTCATAAGAGAACCAGTATGTGCTGCTGGATCAAGTACTCTACACTTCTGGCCTTTTATCAATTGACAGTTTCATACGACTTTAAGCTTGACATGGAAGACATGAATAACCAAGAAATCTGTAATATGTGCATAAGTTAACAGGCCTGAAAAAAAGCAAAGATTCCTCTTTGCAAAATAGTTCTAAGCACAGCTACTTTGTGTTGTTTAAAAATGAATACATAAAGGTAGATTTTAAAAACAATTCTTGAGAAAAAAACCAAAACCAACTTGTTTCATAACAAATAGTTTTCCATGGTTTGAGGTCCTGGGGTTTTGTTTTGGTTTTTTGTAACGTTCTTAACCTAACATACAGACTAAAATATTTCCTGAAACCCATTTTCTAAAATAGAATTAAAAATACAGCTCGTTAATTTTGGACTGAGTTGAAAATTTTGGACTTTAAGCACCTTTTGGTTCTTGGTGGGTTGTTTGTTTTTTTTTAATTTGTTTGGTTTTTTTGAAGAGTACTTCTATATACACACACACACAAATTCTTCAGAACTGATTTCTTAACTAATTCTCAGCTAATGATTTTGATAACTATTTTAATAGACTTTTAAAATATTAAATTCCCCAGGACTTTTCCCTCAACCCCTTTCAAAAACATCACAGTCAAAGTAATTTGGAAAAAATAAGGCAAATCTCAGACAAAAAGAACTCAAAAGCTTAAAATAAAATATTTGTTCACTAGAGTATGTACAAGGGAGAAATCATTACTACAAGCACAAGAAGAAAATAAATCTTTCTTGCTAAGAGGCTAAGAAGCCTGGAGGGGGGAGAAAAATCATTAATCTTGTCATTGTATCCTTTAAAAGGAAAGAGGGTTCCCTTCTTTAATTCCATGTTATAAATTAGAAAGAAATTTGAAATTCCTTTAATTCCAGAGGATACCGAAGGGCAAAAAGAAATCCCCTTACATGTAACCTCACTTCTCATTTCTTCTCACTTGCTTCTTCAGTACATTTTTCAACCTATTAAAGTAGCACTTGCCAAGACAGAAGGCAGAGTACAGCCTCCAAGAAAACACTCAAAGGCACTACACAGCTATTCAAAAAGTGAGAACAGTAATCACTGGCTGTAGTAGCCAAAATGACTCAGAATCTAACTGGCCATCAACTTTTCAGAGAAACTTTAGAAGTTAAAATTTACATCCAGTGCCAATTCCTGCATTACAAACTACACATTTTTGTTTCCCAAACTGGTATGGAAAACTGGACATTATCCTTGAATTCTGATTTGGTCTACAGCAAAAGAGAATTTAGGAAGGAAACAGAATGCTTGTTCAAGAGGAAAAAAAAAAAAGAAATTAAGTGTCCACTACCTCAAGCGGACAAAGTGTCAAAATATGAGGTGAGCTGTATTTCAATGCTGATTATTCTTTTTGCTTTCTGAGGACAAAGCAGAACTTAGACACTAATCAGCAAAGGTAGAAGAATATAATGTTAAAGTGCAGTATATTGTTATATCTCTACTCCTAATAATTGCCAATACCTGACATTTTTGTGTGGTAAAAACAGTCACCAGAATCATAATAAGAGAGGCAACAGATATCTTACCCTACATATGGTTTAAACAGGGGTTTACACAAGCATTCTTTTAAAACATTAAGCAAAAGATGCTTTGGGATGCACATATTCTTTTAATGCAGTGTGTAGTGCGTGAAATTGTCAGCTATAAAAGCTGTGAAGTGCAATGGTACACAGTCTTTTTGCCCAGATACTGACAGCAGGAGTAGAATATATGTTTTTATTTGTACACTTATCTCCTAGAAATATATGTAAGTCCTTGCCTCAAGCAAAATTAAAAGCATTAGAGCTATGCAGATTCAGCTAACTAACTGCGCAGCCTTCTGCACAGGATCTGAAACTTGCATATGGTAGCCAAGATATTGCACATTTCAATTCACTGAAGAATTAAAACTCTCCCCTTGCTGTAAACGTGAAGATTAAAGCCAGAGACAGTACAAATAAGCATAAGCAGGAAACTATTAGATAAAGAATAAGAAACTTCACCCAGATATAAGGGGGAGAGTCCAATGAAAATGCATATACAGTAGCACTACCATATAAAACATGGAAATCAGCATTGGATCACTAGAAAAATAGTTAGTTATATGTAACTAGAAGGGTTACTAGGAATAAAAGACAGAAGGGAACAGAATAAAACATTAGAAAGGTAGGAAGCACTACAGTGTCTCTACTGACCTCTTAAGATAAATTAGATTGAAGGGAGAAGCACTTCAATTTCTTGGCAGATTAGGTAGGCTGTTATGGCTAGAGGCAAGGATAACATTTCTGTCGACTCAGAAGGGATAATATCCAGTTTTACAGAGGGAGCAAGTGAGAGGAAACGGGAATGCCTTAGCAGTAAATGTGGTTTTGGGTATTACAGCAGCTGTGAAGTTACTGTAGGCTATAAATCATGATGATGAAACCTATAAAAACAAAAGTTAATATTCTTTTGATGCTGTGTCCAAAAGAAAGGGCAGAAGAAAATGGGGTATTTGCATTTTATGTAAGTTAGTGCAGTATTAACACAGGAACATCAACATTAGCTGACAAGAGTGTCTCCTGCATCGGTCACTCTAACAACTGAATTGCTGATTAATTAGCTCAGGGATGCCACCATCCCATTTAAGCAATGTTTTTCTTTATGAACATGCATGAGTACTTAAAGGAAAAAAAAAAGAGATTAAGAAAAGGAATCCATGCATGAGGCTTTCCAGCTACAAATGACAGTGGCAGCTCCTTCTTACAACCAGCAAGAAGTCCCTTTCCCTTGCCTTCAGACTATCACCCATAGCAAAAGTGGCAGTCCACAGGAGGAGAAAATCGAAGGATGAATGATCCAAGATCTAAAGTTTACTCATCATTCTAGTACTGCATTTCACTCAGCAGTTTAAGGGAACCAAGACTAAAATATTCCAGCAAAATCAATTTTTAGTTGACCTACCTGTCCCACAAGTCCAAACGCACGATCCAAGCTCCTCTGGTCTGTGTATTTTCTTATTTTATTATGTAGCCACCCCAACTCTGCAAGTCTACTTGTAGTATCTCTGAGAGATTTGGACAAGCTCACCTACAAAGTTAACAGAAACAATAACTTGAAATTAAGTCAAAACTACCATGCCAATCCTTGCTTCTTCACGAAAGTCCTCCCTTTCTCATAAAACAAGCCAGTTCAGGAAACAAACATTTTACATTCTACAGTAGAGATAGTGCCAAAAATGCAGAAATCCATGTAATTAGCACTAAATTTATACACATAAACATTGAAAAGGCATCAGCAACAAACTACTAGCAACTCTATCACCTTCTCTTTTGGAAATCTTAATGTAACATTATTCATACTGGCTTTTACAAGCAATCTAATCACATGCCCTCTGAACTCTTCTAGTCTGTTTCTACTTTCCTTATATGAGGTAGCTCACTTCACCCTGCAAGCCCCCCTTAGTCCCAGCACCCTATTTAACTACTACTGGTATTTTCACCAGAAACAGCACATTTCTTCCTTTGAAATACTAACACCTGAGACACTGTTCCTCTTGTTCCTACTTAAGATTTGCTTCTATCACATTTTATCACATTACCCAAGAACAGCACAATCAAGTTTTCAGGATTTATTGGACAAAAAAACCCGAACGATTTGATACATTAGGCCAAAAGACAGAGATTGACTTTCGACCACAGCAATTGGGCCTATGCCAGCTCTACAAACAATTTTAAGTTGGACAGCATGCTGGAATGGTCCAAACCAAAGCAAGGAAGTGCACTGACAAGCTGAACGGATTGCCAAAGAACTAGAAATCAAGCTCATTCATTCTGCCTTTTAGTTAGCAGCAGTACAGGCATTGTCCAAGATAAAAATCCACTGTGTGTTAGCCACAGCAACGTGGGCTTGAACCAGGCAGCAGCACTTATCTTATTTATCTTATCTGGTTGCAAGACCAGAGTTCAGTCCCTGGCCCTCTTGTTTAGGTATAGAAGCAGAGTTTTAACTTCTTAATCAAGTTCTAGAGGTTAAGTTCAAGCCCAAAGAAGCATGATTGGACACAAACTCGGCTTGCAGCTAAAACCAAAGAGATGACATAAGGACTATCTAGAATTCTGCAACTACAGAACACTTGGCAAGTATTAAGTACAACACACATCCGCTGGAAACAAATTAAGAATGCGCAAAATTGGCTTAGTGTTATTACATTTGTATCTCTTAGATCAAATCAGAAGCTGCTTGCTTATACAGTGCTGAATGTCACCAACAGACCTAATATTAATGTTGACGTTAGAAAACGTTCAGGCAAGAATAACAGCCTGGAAAGTGTGTTTCTTTCTGGAAAAAAAACAGACTACACAATGACCTTTTCTTTGTGCAGCTGAGGGAAAACTACATGCTTTGACTAGTTTTTTTGCCTAACACACAGTCAACACAGCTAGAGAGGGTATGATTTCATTCCTCCATGTTCATCGGAAAAAGTTCCAGCTGCAGCTCTAGTCAGACAAATAACTTCACCTTCACTGGGTCCAGCAGCTCAGTACAAATGCCAATAAGGAAGAAGGACGGAAGATCTCAGAAAAAAGCATTACCGACCACAAACCACCTGAATAACCAAACTCCTTGTATTAACAGAATCAGGATTTCAAACTAAAAGGTTTTCACCTCAAAGTAGCCTATTTAATATGAAAACAACACAGAAAGCTAATGAAATCCACAGTGCAATTTGGCAATCACTGATTAAATTTCCCCACATTCCTCTAGAAGAATCTATTATGCTACCTTTCCTTTGCCATATAAAACCTAACCATATATGGAACATAATTAACTCAGTGCAGGCGTTGAGGAATTACAAACTTTGCAGCGTCTACAGGCTCAGAAGATGACACCCTTAAGAAGCTGTTTATTAACAAGATTTAGCTGATTTAACAAGATTTAAGTTTAACATTTTTCCCTCCACTAAGCAGCCCTGAATATCATTGTAAAGTTACAGGGGGTACAATTATAAATGTCATTTTTTGCTCTTATTATGGAGAGGTTAGTTCAGTTATCATCTACATTAAGATAATGTCATGGTACATTGTCATAGCATAAAGTTCTTAATACAAGTGAAAATGGGAAGCACTGTCTTTCCATTTGAACAAGAACATGAAAATCATTTAGCGATCTGAAACTAAACTGTGATGCAGTACTATCTAAATACTGAATAAGGAGAAGATGCTAAAACAACCAGAGCCATTTCTTTGTTCTTTGCTCAGCTGACCCAATCTCCCCCTCGGGTTTTTTTCCCCCACATTTCAAATATGCTTAACATCTCACCACCTTAAAGCCAGATCTTCTCTCTCTCAGGCTTCTCTCCTGTTTTCTGCCCTCTATTTATAGACACCTTCCTTCAAATTCACATCAGCTGGATTTCCTACCAACAACAGGAGCTGAAAGCACTCTCTGCAGTTCTATTACCAGTCGTCTTAGGTGATCTGTGTGATCCCATCTGATCACTTGTAAATTTGAACCAAACCCACAATATCAAGTGGTGAGCATCCATTGCGCATCTCAGGCTGTTAAATTTAATCCTACAATAACGCGGTCAAAAGCCTGCATTTGCTTTGTATTCATTCTTATACACTAGAGAGGAGAAATTATGACAAAAATCTTCAAATTAAGCCATAACTTAGGAGTCTGTACTGGCTTAATAGTTGGGAGTCTATTCACATCTTGTGAAATGTTATGATTTCTTTCTGGGACATAATCCATGCCATTGATTTTAAATTAGTCCAGTTGAAACTACTCTGTTACACTAAAACAAAATATTGTGATAATATTTTAACTTTTTTTACATATTTTCCATAGCTATTTTTCCCCTACATACCTCTCTGCTCACATACGAAATACAAGTCACCATACAGTACCTTTCCCTCCACTTTATAGCAATTTTCAGAATTGCACATTTTGATGTTTTTGCCATCTATTCCCTGGAAGACATACAAAACGTCTCTTACAAGGTTTGCTTCGGTTATTTCAACAGAGCCTAGAAAGAAAAAACAAAAACCAAAATCAAACAGTATTTAGATTTGGTGGGATAATTAGTTTTGATTACCATTTCAAAAAGCTATTTAGAAGCCTAGTAAAAAGAAGAAAAGGGAAAGCCTGTTTACAACCTGTAAAGAAATGCTTTCAGTCCTCTTCACAACCTGACAGGAACACCAAGAATCCCTTTATCTGCCTCTACTGGTACTTGGGATTCTCTCAGAGCAGGTCAGCTTGTATGACTCAGGCCATGTTATATTTTAACCAACATTTCAGCCAGTTCTTAAACTAATATTTATCTTTCTTTATTTCACTGACAATATTTTATGTCAATTGCTAAAAACAATCACTGTAAATAGTGTACCAATTTAAAGAAAAATAGTTTAAAGAGCTCTCTATGCGAGAGCATATTTCCAAGTTTTAAAAAGACAGAATCCCAAATGGATGAGTATTTCAACAAGTTCTATTCACTGAGCTCTCTTTCTGACTTTCTAAAAGCAGAAGCATCTTCCAGTTATCAAAAGCATGATGATTACTCCCAAACCACAATTATTCGATTCTGACAAACACTGCAATGAAGTAAGTCTTTTAAGATGACCAGAACACACTATCAAACGAATCATTGCAAAAAGAAATTAACAAACAGCCACAGAGATTGCGGCCAAATACACTGGTCTTGCATATTTGCTTCTATCATTCTAACTGAATACATTCTAGCAAAACACTCCTCAAAATTTCAACATGCCATAAAACTATTTCATAATCATTACAAAATAATGGAGGATATGGGCAACAATTGTAAAATCTGTAACAAATGCATCTTTGCTCACCACTTGTATCTCCTTCTCGTCTTGATCTTGGCACACCACGGGAGACAGCATTGGAAAAGCCTTTTGAGGTAGTGCTTTGTAAAGAAGGCTGGCTTGCAGTTAAAGTCCATGCGAGACGTGACCCTAATTGCTGACGGAGGCAATCTCCAACGCCTGGAGTTTGATAGGATTGTCTGGAAGGAAGAAACATGTTTTAAAAATTTGATTCCATACCCATCACATCATTTGGAGTATGCAAATTTTGAAAAACGCACCAAACTTGAGGTCTTTTTTGTGGACGTATTGTTTGTGGGTTTGTTTGGATTTTTTAAATAAAGGAAAACTTCAAAAAAGGGAGCAAATAGGATGCCATTGGCCTTCTTGGCTGCAGAGGCACATTGCTGACTCATGGTCAGCCTGCTGACCACCAGGACCCCCAGGTTCTTTTCTCCTGAGCTGCTCTCCAGCAGGTCAGGCCCCATCCAAGACTGCTACGGTTGGGGTTGTTCTTCCCTCAATGCAATAATCTACACTTGCCCTTGTTGAATTTTATTAAACTTCTCCATGTCCAACTCTCCAACTTGTCCAGGTCACACTGAATGGCACCACAGCCTTCTGGAGTATCAGCCACTCTCCCCTGGTCAGTCCTGAACAATCCCAGCTCTCTCAGCCTCCCCTCATATGTCAGTGTTCCAGGCCTTTAATTACTTTTGTGGTTCCTTCTCCAGACTCTCTTCAGCTTGTTAACGTCCTTTTCTGTACCATAACTGTATCCAGCATTTCAGATGTGTCCTTACCAGTACTGAGCAGAGAGGAAGGTTTACCCCCTTCAGCCTCCTGGTGATGCTCTTCCTAATGCAGCCCAGGAGGCTGTTTGCCTTCTTTACCACACATGGCACACTCATGGTCAACTTGGTGTCTACCAGGAACCCCAAGGTCCTTTCTGCAAAGCTGCTTTGCAGTCAGTCAATCCCCAGTACGTACTGGTGCATAGGGTTATTATTACCAGTACATACAAAGGGGAAGAAAGCACCGAGCATCTCAGCCTTTTCCACAGCATGTCACCAAAGTCCCTACAGGTGTTTTAGATTTGGTTTTTTTCTAATAGGTATTTTTTAAATGAACTCTTGCATAATCTTTTTTATAAAAAAACCAAACAACAAAAAACCAAAACAAAACAAACAAAAAAAACAAACAAAAAAACCTCCCTGTACACTCAAGATGTGAGACTACACTAGCACAACAGCCAACCTGCTATGAACATGCTTAAAAGAAAGCCAGACCATGCAAGAAAGGTCACCCATTTGAAAATGGAGGACATTAAGTCTACTAATTTGACACTGCCTGGAGAATGCTTCGTAAAAGGAACTTGAGTGGGTATACTCTAACAAAGGTGAAGAAAGAAAACTCTTGGTACAATTTTTAGGAAAGAACTGTCTTTTCTCCACTTTCCCCTTCACTCTCCTTTACAAGGAGGTTTCAAAAGAAGATAAAGACTATTTTAATTGGTTTCAGAGAACTAAGAAATTTGGAAAAGGACTTGGCACTAGAATCCAAAAAAGTGGATCCAGTAAGATATCAGTTGTTCAGCTGATAGCCAAGTTTAAGAATGGCTAAACTTGGTCAGCCACTTATGGCTTCATATGATCATATGACAGCACTTGACATTCAGAACTGTTCAGCTATGAAATTCTGTTTCTATGCACCTACAGTGGAATTTCCAATGGCATACAAATGGAGAGAGTGAGGGAACGGAAAGAAAAAAAAAGAAGAAGAAGAAAGAGTCAGTAATTTCTAGTCTTCCCCAAACTTATCTGTGAGGTAAAACAGTTTAATTTACCCTGGAAGGAGTGATTGTGGAGTTGGCGTTGGCCCATTCAGGGCATACAGGCTGATGCTGCTGATCCCACTGCTCCCCATGCTGCCAGAACTCTGGGCAGACTGAGCGCTGCGGTCCTGGTAATTCAACGGGAGGCTTTGCGGCCTGGCATAGTAATAAGGGGTTGAGTGAGCATCCCGTGGCAATGCTTGAGCAAAAAGTGTGGCATAACTTGATACCTGAAAAGGAGAGTATTTGAAAAGGGAGCAACACAAAGAAAAGATTTGCAAGTTGTTTTAAGTCATGTCTGTAGTTAACAGGAGTGTAATATCCAAGAATACAAAAAAAATACTAAAGACCATGTTTATGCAAAGAAAAAATTAAAATCAATTAAAATGACAAAAAGTAAGTCTCTTACACTGAGCAAAAGTACTCTTAGCAATATAGCTTATTTTTGCCTGCAAACTGTCATTAGCAACAGCTTCAAAAAGCACTTTGGTGCTAGCAGAGCTGCAACCAAAGGAGGAATTTTACTCTCCCTACTCCATTTCAAACTCATTAGTACATGAGCAAACATTACACCACCAAACAGAAAGTAAAAAAGAAAATCACCACCCATATAATAAAGTCACAACTTCAGCTACAAATGTAGGGCAGGTCATAATTTTTACATTTACTTTGTATAAAAAAATGACAGAAAAAAAAATGCAGATACTTGTGTCAAGTGTGTTCTTTCCATCAGCCTCACACACAACCACCACAATTACAACCTGAGGTGTTGGTTAAGTCTGGATAAGGATTCTTAACAGCATCTAAAATAAGTGACACACATTTACTTCTCAGAAGCAACAAAGGTCTCCTCACCTACCTTGTTAGACTGCTTACGGGGATCTTCGCTAAGGCTAAGCAGGAGGTAGAGTATTGACCATTTGTTTTTCAAAATGCCCTTTAAAAAAAGATGGAGACAAACAGAAATTAGTTTAACTCTTGATAATAATGGATTTTTAAATATCCAGCCTACTAATCTGCACACATATAAAACAATTTCATAAGAATTCTGGCCATAGAACATTTCTTTCTTCAGGACAGAGCTCACTAGTCAAACCTACCAAAGCTATGTGGTGTTATACAAAGAGTAGAAGGAGACATCACATATTATTATGTAGAGTAGAAGTCTATTATGTTCTGCTTTGATCTCAACTATAAGTATCAAAAGTAGAGGTATTGCATCTGTTGCAAATAACTAATCCAGCAACTTATTAACAACTGGTGAAGAAGTAGCAGCAACATTACTACTTCTACTGGCCAGGATAGAGCAAGTTTCTCAAGAAGCATGGTTTGCTCAGCTGGCAAGCTGCCACTAAAATAAGCACTGACCTCCTTTTCTCTTTAGAGTAAAGGATGAAACACAGTTAAAACAGATTCACACAAGCTTTTTTCTTTCTTCTAGTTGCTTTCAAGAGAATTGCTGGAGGAACAAAAACCCTCATTGACTCAGAAAATGCATATTCCTTCTGTGCCCTTCCCTAAGCTCATGGGGAAAAGAAATTATTGTCCACCATTAGTAATAAACCTAACAGTGAATTGAATAATAATTGGTAGAGTGAATTTTAAAGAAAGCAGGATTTAGCTGGGGTTGTTCAGCCTGGAGAAGAGAAAGCTCTGGGAAGACCTTATTGTGGCTTTCAGTACTTAATGGGGGTCTATAAGAAAGATGAGGACAATCTTTTTAGCAAGGCCTGTTGTGGCATGACAAGGAGTAATGGTTTTAAAATAAGGGAGGGTAGATTATACTGGATACAAGGAAGAAATTTTTCACTATGAGGGTGGTGAAACACTGGAACAAGTGGTCCAGAGAGGTGGCAGAGGCCCCATACCTGGAAACATTCAAGGTCAGGCTGGATGGGGCTGAGTGACCTATCAAGTTGAGGATGTCCCTGCTCACTGCAGGGAGGTTGCACTAGATGACCTCTAAAGGTCCCTTCCAACCCAAAGCACTAACAAACTAGTGAATAATTTAAGTATGGATGAGGGGAGGAGCAGAACTGAGTACGGAAGAGTCACACTCTCCACAGAATCACTTTTTTATAATCTTAAAAATCTTAGCGTTATCCTGTAAAACTCAGCCATGAACTATATATAAATTAATGAATAAAAAGCAGATGAACAGAGAAAAATATTTCTCCTAAATACAAAGAGCAAAATAAGTACCAATTTTCTGTTATAGAGAAAATATGATCTTTTACATTAATTTTTGTTGCCATTTACATGTACCTGATTTTTGATAATTGGGAATCTTATTTTATTAATGCCTACCATATTCTACCTTGCTAAATACTCAGTTTTACAGAGAATCCCAGAACAGATGAGCAGCGGTCATTTTTCACCTACCTCAGCTAAACTTCTATACTCGCATCTTTCCCCACTTTCATCTGATCCGTATTTCTGCATCATGGGCTTTCTATACACTAATACCTTTTCTCAGCATAACAACATGCAGTATTCTTTGATTAACATTGGTGTTAGCAGAATTACTCAGCAAACCCTTAAACTTCAACACTAAAGACCTAGAGCACTTAAATATTTAAAGTTATGAGGACTGTTTCAATCCTAGATCAAGAAAATCGGTTTACTTATAAGGCACTGCTGTAAAATAAATACCAAGAGAAAATTAATCAGTTTTTCATATTAAAAAAAAAACAACACTCGATTTTTACAGAGTTCCTTCCTTTATATGAAGTGCCCCTTTGTGTAACTGGACTCAAACTAAAAACACATCATTTATTATCTTCTGATTTATAATTAAATCCAAATTAATTCATAATTAAATCCAAATTAATTTCTAATTAATAGCAAACAGCTCATAGAAAAAAAAAAAAAACAAAACAACAAAACCTTGTAAACTTTTCCACAAAAATTACAAAATGGCCAAGCTTCAAAGGCACGTCTGAAGATAGTCCAGTCCAACCCCTCCCCTCTGGTCAAAGCAGGGTGACCTACAGCAGGTTGCCCATGACCATGTTCATTCGGGCTTTGTCTGACTCCAAGAATGTTCCAGTACTCAACCATCCCCTCAGTGAAAATACTGTTAATGACCCAAGCACCCTCCAAAACAACTCTGTACCATCAGAAGGATACATGTGTGCTTTCAGTTTCTTTACTCTTCATACATTTATTACACTACCTGTGAACCGAGTTTTCTGTAGAGTTCTGAAAACAAAGCAGCATCTGCTTCCCTTCTTTGTCGCACAACTATTAAAAAAATACAGAGATTAAAAAAAAGAAAGTATAATACTCACACCTGAAATTATATACTTGTGGTAAACTGGAAATTGTACCCAAGAAAACAATGATTCTCAACTGTTTCACTCTATTTACTCAGAGTTTCACCTGTTTTCATTTTATCTGCATTAGAGCCCTGAAAATTCTTGAAGAAGTGGTGCAATGTAAGTACATGTTTTTATTTTCCTTCTAAATAAGTGTCCTTTTAAAGTCGAGTCTGCCATTCTGTAGGTTCAGGAAATTAAAGCATAACTGAAAATAGATAGAGGTTAAAAAAATGCTATAAAGCCCTTCATAAAACTGTGAAGTGTGAAATGTAATTGTTCCTAATTTGGGCAATAAAAGCAAGGAAGTAAAAAAATAGTAATATCACTTGATCAAAGTCAAGCAGAACTCCAAGGTCACACAACTTTTCTTTACGTGTTTAAATGATGAGTAGATGTCATGCTTAGGAACATGGTCTAGTGGCAGATTTACAGCTGGTTCGATGGTTGGACTCGATCTTAAAGGTCTTTTTCAACCGAAACCATTCTATGATTCTGTATTAAGAAAAAAAACCAACGGTCTCAATCATTGCCAGTTACATAACAGAAATCTTTGCTCAAATGAAAAACATCTTCAAGGTTTAAGATGTCTGCTGAAGAGCCATGTTACATCAGAAAGAGTCAGGTTCAAAACAGGAAATAAAAAAAAAACAAACACCAAAAACATCTGAAGAAGCCTTAATAATAAAAAAATTGCTGTTAAATGTTAGAAATGTTAATTAGCATCAAAAGCCACGGCTAAGTATGTTTTGCCAAATAAGTCACTTCCTGCGACACTCCAAAATAAACATGAAGCTAGAAGGATGTATCCAGTCACTTGCTACAGGACCACTAACATCAGCATACAAGCTGATGTTGGGAAGAAGAAAGATAAACGAAATTATCCTCTTCAAAACTCCTGGCAATAGGCTCAAAGAATATATGCTGTGTTAGCCAGTACAAGCCTAAGCACATAAAAACCTCATGCAGAAAGTGTGTACTGTAAAATACGGTGTTTAGGAGTTACATTGAGAGAAATTTTGATGGGTTCATTTGCCTATCAGCAAATCATTGATGCTCTGCATCAGCAAGAAATATACACGTACTTTGAAACAGCTACAACCACTGACTTCAGTTGCGCTAATTCAACCTCTCTGGCTGAAGATTCAAAGCTCAAACATGAAGCTTTAATTTAATTCGCATACTTCAAGTAATTGTTTCTGGACATTCTACTGTAGAGCACATCATTTGCTGAAAGTAGTCTTTGCCTTTTCAAGAAGAACACACCAGATCCCACATGTTGGATTCACACAGTGCAACACTTGACTCCGAGCAGCATGGAACACAACGGAGCATAACTGCAACATAACTTACACTGTCCCTGTTTCAGTTTTGAGAAGGTGGTTGCAGATAAGCTTGTACATAAACTAAAGACAAGAAGTATTAAGTAAGACAAACAATTCCATCAGTTCCCAGGATGCTCGTTCAGCAAGTTTCACACAGGTGCTCATGAAGTTAATTGTGCTGAAGTGTAGTATTTCTAAAGTGCACATCACAAAAACATCAGTCTTCTAAAAAATAATTATAAATTCATAGTCTGAGTATTATCAAAGTGAAAAGAGTGCAATATTAATTGTTCTTTATTTCCACGGTGGCTAAGATTGAAATAAATGGCAGCAACAGAAGTCTAAGATGAGCATTCAGAAAAATACAAGCTGTGAATACAAACAGCCACTCAGGGATACTAATTGGGGAATTAATGACATTTCCATAATGAGTTTTTCAGGGGGTGAGCATTAATAACAGATTAGATAGCCATCTAATGAGGCAGAGTTGTCCCATTTTCAGAAGAATAAACTGATCAGATAACTTCTTGAAGAACTTCAATTTCTATTTCTAAGGAAGAAACAAAGATGCACTTACGTTCTTTCTTGATTTTCTCCGCCACAAGAAATTCATCCCGCTCAACGGTGGGAGCGAAGTTGCTTCCAATAACTCTCACTGCATACTGAAACTGTTGGGCTGCATCAGCTGAAAGAAGAGGAAAACTCTCAGTTAAGCAGAGTGTTAAAGTTCTAACTTTTAGAGTTTATTTATTTTAATAGATATGAGATTGCATTGCTGTGACCAAATCCAACAGAAACGTACATGGCTTAGCTCAGAAAATGTTATAATATTTAGACATGCTTCTACCCAGAAGGCAGTCCAGTAAAGTCCAGTTTACCCATGAGCATATCATCAATGTTTTACTTAAACACACTCACCTGTATACATTCCGCTAAATAATTGCACTTAAGGTTATGAATAAGCCTTTCCTACTCCAACACTGACAGAAGTGACACTTGGGCCTGACCACTTACTAGACAGCATCAGTACACTTCAGCTGGCTCTGTCCTTCCCCACAGACTGAAATGCAGTGGGACTTGGCACAAAGTTACCCAATTCAGCTCACGCATAGGAACAATACAGCCATGTTCACTCTCTCACCAGGTGCCAAAACTGGATTAACCCACCTGTGGATCTTTACACAGGTAAATTAATCCAGTTCATCTATACACAACAGTGGTTTTATCAGTTTGTGTGCTGCTGTTTTGGTTTTTTGTCTTGATTTGTTTTTAAACTAGTTTACATGGTTTCACCACTTCAGTTCAAAGCTAGCTCTGAGATATTGCCATCATATCCCAATGCATAATATAGATACTAATGAAGAAGTCACAAGCCAGTGACCTCCCTCCACTGCTCCTTCATTATGCAATAATTCTATGTTTAATGTTGTCGCTGAACAGTACTGTTTTAGTGCAAGTATCTCTGCTTTCTGGGAAGATTAATAGTATGGCAACACTGAGATAGGGCCAGCTCAGTATTAATGCCTCTACAGCATAGTCACATTCTCATTTATTGACCTGAAAGTCAATCAAACAATAACCCTACAGGCATGTTGAGCGCCCTTACAAGTACAAAATGTTAGACAATTTTCCACTTCTCATATACAAAAAGCTGCAATAACATAAGGGGAAAGGTACATAAGAAAAAGTAAGCGTAAATGTATGGTGTCAGCTACTTGATTCTTTACACTTCTTCACTTCAGAAAAAGAAATAACTATCTAAGCAATTCTGCATATTATGCCTAGTTTTTATATAACAGCTTTGTGTCCTAATGCATCAGACTCCTCATGTGTTTTATTTAGTCAGTTAAGTAGTCACCTTTCAGAGAAAATTGTAGAGTAATGCAGTAATGGTTCAGCCGAGGAAAAAGAAAGGATGCTGGCTTGGACAAATATGTACAAAAGGAACAGAAAAATGGAATAGGAAGGAATAGGGTAAAAGTTCAACAGAAGCAGAACTACATTAAGCACTGAATCATCTCCTAAATTAACTAATGTTTACAATGGAAAAAAATCACCTGGGACATACTAGGAGTCAATTATTGATTAAATGCATTAAAGCCTCCAGAAATTTCTGAAAAGAAGAAACTTGAAATCAGAATGTGTTACATTGTTTTTGAATGTCCATTTTTTTACTGTTTTGTGACATAAATGCCACCCACTTGTCCTAATCTACCAGAATGCAACTGCAGACCAGCAAACATTAACCAGTTCACACAAAGCAGTACTTCACACAATCAGGAAAAAAGTCTGCTCAGACAGAATCATTAATATTTAACGGTATTTGACAATGTTGGCCTACAGAGGGAGCAAGGGTATTTATTGTCAATGTCAATATCCAGACTACTGTGAGGGCACAAATCCGCACGACTTAAATGCCTCCCAGAAAGAGTAGTTCTACTGTTGGACTAAGAAGCCTCTCATTTGCAATAAGGACTTCAAAACACACATACCAAATAATTCAACAGTTCAGCTATTGATAGCTTAAACAGAACTGATGAACCAGGTAGGAACAGTAAGTATGAAAAAGTGTTCCTAAGTAATTCCTAAGTACAATGCATGTTATTACAGAACAACAAGATTTCCAAAAGTATTCTGCAAGGCCATTTAAAGTCAAATATTGGCATTAAGTTATCATAAACAACAGTAAGAATTCTGTCATTCGTTAATTCCACAACTGTACCTAGCAGCAGTTAGGCCAGAGCTAGGTTTTTCCAGTAATTCTTACGTATTTTTGCATGTTACTATAGTGACTTAAAGTCACACAGGCTACAAACTAAAAATAAATTTGCCACAAGAGTTCCAGGTCAGGCATTTTGCATTATTTGAGTCAGGAGAGGATCAAGAGTTGATACAAAGTATTTTATTCAATCTAGATACATGTCACAACTGATAATGAACTCCCTCACTGATTATGCACTAAAAAGCAGGAGAGAATGGATTTCCAGTAAATTACTTCAATACCAGTTATAGAAAAATCTAAAAAGAATAGAATCATAGGTTAGAAAGGACCTTTAAGCTTAGCAAGTCCAACTGTTAACCTAAAACTCCCAAGTGCACTGCTAAGCCATGTCTGTAAGCACCACATCTACACATCTTTTAAATACCTGCAGGGATGGTGAATCCACCACTTCAGTGTAACAACAATGCACAGTTTTTCCATGTAAGCAATGCTGTATTGATTATGTTTATTCACTTTTTTAGAAAATCTTTGGTTTCTGAACAAAATGTTTCATAGCAGTGTTTCAAAAAGATTTTTCCTCTCTGTTAAACCCTGGGGTTTTGGAGGCACAAAAATCTGGTAATGTCTTTTCCATACTGCCCTAACAAGACACCCAAGAGAAATTTCTAGTTGAAAGAAAACAATTCCATCCAAAAAATCTGATCATTAAACCTATTACACTACTAATGATATGGAACAAAGTTATCTGCTCTTTACACATAGATTTGCACTGGCAATTCAACAGCATCATAGTAAGACTGTTTTAATATTGTATTTTATTCAGACTTTCATGTTTTATTCATATCAAGTCCAGATTCTCTTTTACAAACAAAATTCCCTGCTGTGGGAGTTTCTTCAGCAGATTACTTCTTATAAGTCTGTAAAATAACTTCAGTACCTAAAGTGATTAAACATAACTTAATACGGATATCTGTCAGTGAAATAAAGATTCACATATTTTATAACTAAAAGACACATTTAATTGCTTCCCTCCTCAAAGAACAGCCATTATGACAGCAGATGGGCTTAAAATACTCAGCTGTGTATCCATGTACGTGCACATCCTTCTTCATCAAAACGTGATTATGGGAGGACTCTATTATGTAACTGGAAGCTTAATAGATCTGAAGCATGAAATTGATGCAGCTGTTTGCAGGGTAAGGGGGGAAACAACACTGAGCACAAGTTGGTTTCCAGAGGTCTGATCAGAGCAGTGAACACAGGTAAAGACAGCCACTCCTCCTCAGATTATCTCCTTTAAACAATACACACACACACACACACACACACACACATATATACACACACACCTGATTAATGATACTAGTAAGCAGCCATACAATTGAACAAAGAGCACATCTGAATCACAAAATAAATTAATTTAAATCCTCTCCTTTCAGTAGAGCTATCATCAATAATTCAAAGATCTATACTCCACCTAGCCATTCACATTTTCTTACAAACAATGCAGTATTAAAATTGAACAACTTCAGAAGGGCAGATAACAGCATTTTAAAGCTGCAGAAAATACAAGTGCAGCAGATGTAAAAAATACACAAACACCACACAGGGAGAATTCGGTTTTAAAAAAAGCAAGCAGAAATAGGATAGAAGGTGAAGTTTAAAGGAAAAGTTCAAAAGACAGAGACACTTGGCCAATATACTTCCAAGAAGACAGTATTTCAGCAGAAATGCTGAAATTGAAGTTCAGTACGTCTTTTGCTAAAAAGAAGCTTCTAACATTACCTACAATTTTAGAAAGTGAACTGAAATTCACTTTCCAGCCTTATACGCTTCTTTCAACACCAGCAGCTTATGTGTCTATTGACGTTGACAGAGAGAAAAAAAACCAGTCCTGAAAACCTAAAGAGCAATTGAAACACAGTTTCTGATCATTAACATATCATAATTGTGAAAAATCTGGCTTTCTGGAAATAAGACACTTGGTTATTTTAATTTGACTGTAAGCGTAATTTCTAAACAATAGGACAATTCTACAGAAAGGTCATTTCAACCAGACAGTAACCACTTTGTCTTAAAAGACTTCAGAGATTAGCGAACTCTCTCCACTACAAGTCCAGTCTGTCATCTCAGACAAAAGTTTTGCTTCGATGTAGATACAAAAATTATTGTAAAACAATTGCACTTTGCATTCAATGCTCTATGTGTAGCACTGACTGGCTAACAACTACTGCTGCAAACTACTCAGACACAGATGCTGTCATCTAACACATGATAAAGGAAAAAAATCCAACTTCTTTCCTTTAACTAAGCATTTGCTAAATACCTAATGTGCTACCGTTGCAAAACGTTCTCACGTATACCACAAGCAAATACTGGGTTTGTCAAGACAGTAATATTGCTGTATCTTCTCAGTTTTAACTACATCAAAAGTTCTACGTCGGTAGAAATTATTACCAGAAAAAAAGCAATTGCATTAATACGATGTGAGATACTGACAAACTTAAATACTAATGTAGAATGTCATTAGTGTTACTATTTTGTCTAAGAGAATCTTCACACACTTATGAAAACTGCTTGTTCCTGTAGAAAACATATGTATGAGAAAGAAGTGTAATTTCAGGATAAGCCCAGTTATGAAGTATTCCTGAAAAAATTAATTTTGCATGAGTCTTCTGCTTTAGTCAACTGTCTTAAACTTCTCTGCTGCAAGTTCACTTCTTTCAGAAGGAAAAACAACACTAAAGAAAATTAAAATGTAAATGTAAAAATACTCAATTTGTCCAAGTTTTTATTTGAAGCATTTTAACTTTATTCTTAATTAACCATCTTTCCAGTCTCCACACACCTCTCCTACAACAGCAAAAACCAACAAACCCACAAAATAAAACCCAAATTACACACACTCCCAAGCCTTTCCTTACTTACAAGCTGTCCACAAACTTTGAACATAACTATTTTTTAATCCTGATAATATTGCTGGCTCTTGTAAACAGATTTGTTTGAGGAATGTCCCACTGGAGTATCAGCAACTCAATCACACAACTGTCTCGGAACTTTACCCTCACTGAATTTTCACCTAACCTGTCAACTTGTGTTTGCTTCTGCTGGCATAGGTAAAAAAACCCTCCGTATCACCTTTTGAATTAACTCTATGCTTTCTCCCCACCATGACATTTTAACATCTATTCCAATAGTTCAGATCT